TCTCTCATAGGTAATCGCAAGAGCTTAGAGAGTTATCAATTAACTCAGTTTAGAAGAATAGTCGAGAGGTGTTCTTCGAAAGAGCATTCATTCATTGTATTTGTGCACATGTTCATAGGACCTATTATTAGGTTGGTTAAGGGAACTCTCATGCATAAGGAAGAAGAATTTGAATCCCTAAGGTAGCCTAATCATCTGTTGAAATCGAAGGACTCAATAGAAGTTAAGAGTGAACTTTAACACAGAGTTACCAGGAATAATAGTTGATCACATATCTTGTCACTGCCCATACTTCTCACCTTGATATTCAATTGTTGCTATTTAGTCATTAAATTGCCATTAGTTTCTTACGATCAATAATCTTAGTTTTATTAGTGGTCAATAATAACATAAATCAAAGGTTTACTATCCTGGATAGTGTTGAGCTGAAGATTTAATAGAACATTATTCAAACCAATCCCTATGGAGACAATTTAATACTATACTATCTTTGACTAGTGGTCATAAGTTTTATACACCGATTTTGCGCTCGTCAAATTTTGGTGTCGTTGCCGGGGATTTGGCGATTAATAGTGTTTGAATTAATTTTTGGTGCTAATTTAGGAAAAATTTTATTATATTTTCCTTTTTCACGCTCTTCTCATCTGTATGCAGGCAACATGTTAAGTTCAGTGGTGTATGACTCGATCCTCTTCCAAGGAATCGGTGCCATACAACCCAGAGTTAGACAAGCACCTGAGGCATTTGAGAAGAGAGAAAGGATCGAGTGGATTATTTTTGGGTCAGACTTCGACTCAAAATACAATGGTGAAAAACGAAGAGGATGTTAACCTAGCTAAGAGAGAGGCAGCTCAGCAACAGGAAGCACAGTTAGCAACTGAAGCAGCTCGCAGAATTGCGGATGAAACGATTGATGGGGAGCGAAGGTTGAATCCTAACCGTAACATGATCAAGATGAATTAAAAAATGCAGCTTCTAGGTCTGGGAGGTCGCTAGGAGATTATGCCAGACCAGTGTACAACCAACAATATTCTAGTATGAGGCCCCTACCATTGATGCCAATAAATGAAGATCCCAACAACCATGTGATGGACTTCGATGAAATCATGAACACATTCTGTTACAGTGGTGCATCACATGATGCCACCCACCTCAAAGTATTCCCGTTCTCACTTAAGAATGATGTAAAGCAGTGGTTAAGAAGTCTGCCCACAGGGTCAATCCGTACGTGGGAGGAGATGACTACCAAGTTCTCTGAAAAATATTTCTTTGCCGCTAAGACTGGACAAATGAGGAAAGGGATTCACAATTTCAGCCAAGGTGAAGGGGAGACAGTGTTCGAGGCATGTGAATGATTTAAGGAGCTATTGCGAAGGTTCCCTCATAATGGAATGGATTAATGGATGCAACTCCAGGACTTCTGGGACGGGTAAAACCCGTCCTCAAGGAGATTGCTGAATAGTGCAGTTGCAGGTCCTCTGATGAAGAAAACTCCTGAAGAGATTGTCACACTTCTGAATGAAATATTTGAAGACACAGAGCAATGGTGCACTGACCAAGGGGATCGAAGAAGATCAGTGGGGGTGCACCAAGTAGAATCGTCGGTAGCAATACAGGCCCAAATTACAGCTATGGTTAAGGACATCAAGCAACTTATGCTAGCTTAAGTGAAAAATCAACCACAGGTGGGATTTGACATCTGTGGATTGGGACACCCAACATATGAGTGTTAAGATACAAATGAGGAAGTCAACGCTGTGGGTAACTTCAACAAAGGCAACTACCAATGAGGTGGTTATTTCAATTCTATGGGACAGAGACATCCATGGTTCTCATGGAATTCTTCAACTGGTACTTTGAACTCATGGCAGCAGCAAAATCCGAGAGCACCAGTGCAAGGACCTCTTAGTTTACAAACTCAACAGAGGCAACCATACCAACCTCCACAGCCTAACAACTCAAGTTTAGAAGATGTAATGAAGGCATTTGTAAATAAATTCGATGAGAAACTTGAGACTCAAGGGCCGCTATCAGGGAGCAAGGCACAACCATAAAGAATCTGGAAAGACAAATGAGGTAGCTTGCAACATTGTTGTCATAAAGGGCACCAAAGAATTTGCTGGCAGACAGTGAAAAGAATCCAAAAGAGACAATCAAAACAGTGTCTCTCAGGAGTGGGAAAATACTAGCAGAGCCAAAGGCAAAACCAAGGGATGAGAAGGAGATAAACTCAACCAAGATAGGTGAAGAACAAAAAATTGGTGAATCTTTGTCCAAGGATAATGTTAACAGTAAGGAGGTTGATAAGCAGAAGGTGAGCAGCGCAGTAGAGGAAAGCAAGCACATGCCATTGTTACCTTTTCCTCAAAAGATGAAGCGGGAGAAATTAGACAAATGCTTTGGTAAATTCTTGGAGATGCTGAAACAGTTGTATGCAAACATCCCGTTCATGGAGGAGCTCACACAGATGCCAACCTATGCAAAATTCCTAAAGGAAATCCTTTCAAGCAAAGGAAGATCGAGGAAACGAAAGTGGTCAAACTCAATACCCACTGTAGTGCCATTCTACAGAAAAAAATTCCTAAGAAGTGTGGTGATCCTGACAGTTCACTATACCCTGCTCGTTGGGTAGCAAAAATTTTAACAACGCCTTGTGCAATTCAGGTGCATCTATTAACTTGATGTCATAACGCTGTTCAAGAAATTGGAAGAAGAGCTAGGAGTGATCAAATCTATGTCGGTATCCTTGAAATTGGCTGATCAGACCACGATCATACCGCGGGGCATAATTGAGGACGTTCTAGTAAGGGTAGACAAATTTGTTTTCCTAGTAGACTTCATCATGGTAGATATGGAAGTGAATAAGGAGGTACCTCTCATCCTGGGGATACCATTCCTTTGCACTGGCCGGGTTATTCTATTTATATATATGAGGGGCAATTCTTGCTACGAGTGGGAAACAAAAAAGTGGTGTTTCAAATGAAGAGAATGATGGAATACCCATGTGATGAGGCATCTGCCTATGCTTTTCTCAAACTAGATGTGGTGGGAGAGTTAACTGAACAACACAAGCTGGATAAGCTGGTAGGTGACTCACTAGAGAGATGCATTAGTCAATCAAGCACAACAGAGGATAAAGATCTTGAGATCAAGAAGGAAGTTGAGCCGCTGGAATATGAGAACCAGGTGGTAGATGAAAAAGAATTCGAGAAAGAAAAGAGCAAGCCGAAGATGGAATTGAAAGTACTCCCGACACATTTGAAATATGCTTTTTTGGAGACTAATAATTTTCCCGTGATTGTTGCTGTTGATTTGACAAGTGAATAGGAACACATGCTTGTGGAGTTACTACGGAAGCATAAAAAGGCAATCGGTTGGAGTACCACCGATATTCAAGGGATCAGCCCTGCAATCTGCATGCACAAGATCTTGTTAGAAGAAGGGACTAAACCAGTGGTGCAGCCCCAACACAAACTGAACAAAAATCTTAAGGAGGTGGTTCTAAAAGAGATACTCAAATTGCTGGATGCAGGTATAATATTTTCCATCTCTAACAGTCAATGGATTAGCCCCGTACAGGTTTTGCCGAAAAAAGGGGGCATGACGGTGGTACAAAATGAGGACAATGAGCTAATTCCTACCAGACAGCTACTGGGTGGAGGATGTGCATAGATTACCAGAGATTAAATCATGCAACAAGGAAGGATCACTTCCTTCTTCCTTACATTGATTAGATGTTAGAGAAGGTGGCGGGGCTGGATGTTACTGCTTCTTAGGGTACAATCAAATACCCATTGCGCCTGAGGATGTTGAGAAAACCACCTTTACATGCCCGTCCGGAATCTTTGCATACCGGAGAATGCCTTTCGGACTATGCAATGCACCAGCTACTTCTAGAGATGCATGCTGTCAATATTTTCAGATTTGAATGGGAAGTGTCTGGAGGTGTTCATGGATGTCCTTACTCTATTTGGAGATGACTTTGAAGATTGCTTGAGGAACCTCGAACTTGTTCTGAAACGATGTGAGGACACTCACCTAGTACTCAACTAGGAAAAGTGTTACTTCATGGTTAGGGAGGGGGTAGTCCTGGGCCATAAAGTCACAGCTGAAGGTATTGAAGTCGACATAGATAAAGTAGATGTGATAGCCAAGCTCCCACCACCGACTTCACTGAAGAGCATCAGATGTTTTTTCGGGCATGCCGGCTTCTATAGAAGGTTCATTAAGAATTTTTCCAGCATTACCAAGCCCTTAACGGCATTACTTGCCAAGGATGTGAAATTTGTATTTGATGTGGAGTGTCTCGGAGCATTCGAACTGATCAAGTAAAAGCTAGTGAGTGCCCCCATAATGGTGACTCCTAACTGGAGTGAGCCTTCTGAGATAATGTGCGACGCCAGTGATAAGGCGGTAGGAGTAGTGCTGGGGCAGAGGAGAGATAAACTATTCTGCGCCATTTACTATACAAGACGGAACTTGAATGATGCTCAAATGAACTATGCTACCACAGAGAAGGAGTTTTTTGCAGTAGTCTTTGCTTTTGAGAAGTTTAGGTCCTATTTTGTGGGAAGCAAGGTAATAGTGCATACTGATCACTCAACACTGAAATATTTGCTGAGTAAGGGAGAGTCCAAACCGCGTCTGGTGCAGTGGGTATTGTTGCTGCAAGAATTTGATCTAGAAATCAAGGACATGAAGGCAACAGAAAATCAAGTGGCTGACCACCTGTCGCGATTAGAGAAACCACCTGTTAAAGCGGTGGACATTCGAGAAGAGTTCCCAGATAAGCAGATTTTTCCATTGCAGTAGTCTTCGATAGACCACCATGGTTCGCCGACATAGCCAACCTCTTGGCTAGTGGGTGGCTGCCATACGACTTGACCTCCAATTAGAAAAAGAAGCTGCAAAGTGAGGTAAAATGTTATTTTTGGAATGACCCTTTCTTGTTTAAGCTATGTGTAGATGGTGTGATTCGAAGATGTGTGCCTCATGGAGAGATGGTAAGCATTCTGTCTCACTGTCATGATGGAGCAGCTGGAGGACACTATGGTGGAAATCGCACTACAGCAAAGGTCATGGAATTCAGTTTCTTTTGGACTACTTTGTACAAAGACACACGAGCGTATGTAGCTGCATGTGAAAATTGTCAAAGGGTAGGTAATATTAGCAAGAGGGACGAAAGGCCTCTCAACTCCATTCTACTATGTGAAATTTTTGACGTTTGGGGCATTGACTTCATGGGTCCGTTCCCATCGTCACATTCTTATGAGTATGTCCTAGTAGCCATTGACTACGTCTGTAAGTGGGTCGAAGAAATCCCTACTAGGATCAATGATGCTCGAGTGGTGTGTGAGTTCTTACGGAAGAACATCTTTACCCGCTTTTGGGATGCCTCGAGTGATTATCAGTGACAATGGGTCACACTTTGTGAACAAGCAGTTTGCTGCACTACTGTCCAAGTATAGGCTCACACATAAAACAGGAACCCCGTACCATGCCCAAACTAGTGGGAAAGTCGAAGTGTCTAACTGTGAACTTAAACGAATTCTTGAAAAGAAGGTTGATGCTTCTTGTAAGGATTTGGTCTGTAACGTTGGAAGAAGCTCTATGGGCGTAGAGAACTGCGTTCAAAACAATCATAGGGACTTCACCGTTCAAACTAGTGTATGGAAAATCATGTCATCTGCCTGTTGAGATAGAACATAAAGCTTATTGGGCAATTAAGATGATTAGTCTTGATCTTAGTCTTGCAGGTGAACACAGGTTGGCTCAGATGAATGCATTGAAGGAGTTTAGATTGGACGCGTGTGAAAATGCGCAGATTTTCAAGGAAAAGACTAAAAGGTGGCATGATCGCCTAATTAAGCCAAAGGAGTTTCATGAATGGGACAAAGTCTTACTGTACAATAGTAGACTCAGATTGTTCCTCGGAAAATTCAAGTCTAGATGGACGGGACCGTATGTGGTGAAACATGTATCACCATATGGGGCAATTGAGATTCAGAACATGGACGGAACAGAGAGTTTCAAAGTGAATGGGCACAGGCTAAAACCGTATCTTGCTGGAGGATTTTCTCAGCAATCCTTGAGCATCAAAATCAATTGAGGATGCCCGGCTGAGTCAAGCTGACGACTATAACTCAGAACTACCTCTAACTCTTCTACTAGTTAATTTTTTCCCACTTTTGTTTATAGCGTATAATAGATAGATATTAATATATATTATGATGTGGTAGGTGCGGGAAGGTATATGTCGCGGAAGGTAGGAACTAAGGTGTCTAAAAGGCCCCTTTTGAATGTATCCGTGCACGACCGTGCACCTGGTAGGGCACCTCACGCATATGGTCACGCAAAAGGCAACGTCAAACGATGCGAAATGTGAACGGCCGTGCACCTGGAAGGGTGACCGCGCACTTGACCGCGCACATTCACCAGTGTACTGCCTCACTTGCGCGGCCGCGCACGAGGTGACCCGACTGCGCACATGTAAGTTTTTCGTTTTCCTTTTAATTTCGGACCACCCTCGAAATCCCCAATTCTAACTTTTGCGAAATTCCTCTCCCCTACACTAAACGAACCCTAACTCGCCCCCCCTTCTATCATCTCCTCTCTGTAAAAACAACACCAAAACACTCCCCTACTCTTCGCCCTTCACCCATCCTCACGAGCTCTCTTTCCCAGAGACCCTTCAGGTATGTGAGATGCTTTCTCTCTCTTTTATTATTTTTATTTTGTTTCTTTCTTTCTTTTTGTTCTCACTTTTCATATGGGGGGAGGTTTAGTTTCACCATGGGGATTGACCATATAGTTGCTAGGAGTGAAAGTGGTGTATCCTTAGTCCAGCTAGGCTAAATATTGCCCTTTGGGGGGGGGGGGAGGGGGGGTTAGGAACAACTGTGCATGTTAAATGTTTGTGTAAATGCCTTAGTGAGATTGAGGGTGTAATTTTGTGACCAAGTGTGAGAGTGAAGTCTGAGTAGCCTCTCTTGGTTTGCCAAGTGATTCATTATCTGATAGTTGGTGGTTCGTTACAAGAGAAAAATTGCAGGTGCACGTCCTGGTCGCAAGCTTCTGAATCCGCTCGCCCGTATGATCAAAACAAGTTCATCTCCTGGGAAGCCGAAGAACGATATCAAAATAAGGCTAGTAAAAAACCCATACCGGAAAGGGGAATTGATATTGGGTCTCTCCAAAATGATTGTCCTAGAGTGAATAATGAATTGGTCAGACGATTCATGGGGGTATTCTTTGAAGAACCTGAAGAGGCAAACTTAATGGTTGTTCGGGAGTTTTATGCAAACTGCCCGGCACATGAAGACCATGTCTGCACAATTCAAAAGAAAAGAGTGGACTTCTCCAAGGAGGCCATCCAAAGGGCGTATCATTTGCCGGAATATGTGGAAGACCCTGATACAGGTGACTACTACTCCACGTACAGTAGAAAACCATACATGTGGCGCCTGTTCTTTGCAACCATTTGTGTACCTGACAAGGAGGTAGTGTAGCTAAAGTTGGGTCACAAATTTCACTCGGCCTCACTTACCTTTGAAGGGAAGTGTTAGCTCTACATCATTAATAATCGCTTGTTGCCTTTAGGAAACACCACTTAGGTGAACGGTCCCCGGGTTGCTCCGATTTGGTGATTTATCAATGCCCACGATTTTGATGTGGCTCAGGTCCTTCAGGACGAGATGACTCGCTGTCTTGTGCAGAGGTATGGGTTCAATTTCCCATCCTTAGTCACTAGCTTATGCCATGAGGCACATATACCGGAAAATAGGTCCACGGATGGAAAAGTCAAGCACGATCAGAAATTCCGGGCTGATAAAGTTGTAATTGGGATGGACTCTATGGGGCTTACTCAGGCGGAGAGTGAGTTATCCGATAAACCTGACGAGGGCAATGAGGTGCAAGGTGAGGATGTCACTGCTTCTCCACCGCATGAGAAGGGTGTTGGGGAAACTTCAGGCGGTGAATGGGATACGAGAATGAGCGCTTTAGAGCAAGAGATTTGGGAACTCGAGTGGACGCCCTCGCTACATAGAATGCCAAATCTGAGAAGAAGATCATGCCATTGCTGCGTGCACTTGGCTGGGGTTGTCATCTTGACCCCGGCACCGTCTCCGACACGGATTGACTTTATCACGGGAGTTTTCTTCACCTTTCCATTTTTCTTTGAGTGTCATGGGGACATGCCACCATTTGAAAGTGTGGGGTGGGGGATATGTGTATGTTGTATGTATATGCGTTTTCCTTTTGTTAGTTGTAGTTTTGTTTTTTGTTAGTTACAATATTTAGAGATACAAAAAAATTAAAATTTTTGATTTTTCCCGATGATGCATATCATTTGACGGTTAAAATTTAAATAAATTAGACGCCATAGGACATTCTCTCTAGCAAAACCCTAAACCCTGGGTGATTCGGAGACGACAAAGCTTCACAACTCTCCCATGGCCGCCCAGGCCATTGGCCAGCCTCCACCTGAGGTTGGTCAGTCGTCCCTCAATACAGTACAACCATGCCAAACAACTACAAACCCTACATTGATACAAAAATATGTGAATCTGTTAAAACCTCAAGCATTAAATGTCGCTATGCAGAACCCTTGCATGCAACTCAAACCAGTTGAATACTTACATGGTGAGCCTCTAGTTCGTTGGAAGAAAAATGAAGTGAAACAGTCTATCGCATTGCAAGGATTACAACTAGCAGTGTTGGGCAAGTATTTTTATGGAAAAGCTGTAATTTAGGAATTAAGGAAGCTGATTCCCATCCAGTGTGAGCTTAAAGGTCCGTGTTCGATTGGGTTGATTGAAGATACTCACGTGATTATCAAATTAACTCTTATGGAAGACTACATTCATCTAGTGTCCAAGCCAGCCTTTTATTTAAAAGCACAAGGAAATTTTTGGCAGATGAGATGCACCAAATGGAGTCCTTGGTGGAAGCCAGATGAGGAAACTCCTATTGCTATTGCTTGGATATCGTTTCTGGATCTTCCTCCCAATTTTTTTGGTAAGGAGTTTGTTTTCTCTTTAGCTAATGCAGTAGACAGACCTCTTCATGTTGATTTGGCCACTCAAAATGGCACGATACCTAGTTGTGCTAAGGTCAAAGTTGAAGTAAACCTACTAGGTACATTTCCCCAAAGGATTAAGATCATTGAAGAAAAAGATGAAACCGGCCCTGAGGAATCGAAATGGATTAAAATCAAATACGATTACATGCCTAAATACTGTAAGACATGTAGGAAGCAAGGTCATAATGAAAGAGAATGCTGGATTATTCATCCAGAGCTTTATAAAAAGTTCAATGAAGGTGGGGATGAGCAAGGCAAGAGAAGGCTATTGTTGTGCAAAGTGAGGTGGTTGGGACTACTGCAACTTCAACCAAGGTTTTAACAAGTGGAAAATTACTAGGTAAACCTACAACTAATGTTACCAAGAATGAATGGATGCAAAGGAGAAAAAACAAATATAAAAGAGACAACAGAGGATACATAATTGATAATGTAGAGGCAGTTGCTATTGAGCCAGCAAATGATCACAAGGAGGCTAAGGACAAGGAGGAAAATAGTAATGTTGATGCTTTTGGAAAAGCTCAAAATAAGGATCCACTGAAAACTAGAAATCAATTTGCTTTGCTAGAAGAAGGAGAAATTGAATTACAAAAACAAATAAAAAAGGAAGATGTAGAAAAGGTATTAAGTAAGGAGCAGAATGAGGCAAAGAATGTGAATCCTAGTCCTACTAGGAAAGGTTCTTTGAAAAAGACCGGAAAGCAAATTGCGGCAAAACATGCTCATAATTTGAATGGGTTCACACGAGATTTGGCACGAATAAAGATGAGTTGAGGGAGATGAATGTGCCAATTAATCAGTCTAGTCAAGAAGTTCCATTATAAACATATGATGATTCTAAGGAGAGAGGGGCAAATATTGAGATCAGGTCAGGTACAACTCTTTGGAGTGATGAGGTTGAGATGATGAAGTCTGATACTAATGCAAATTCGAGTCCAAAAAGTAAAGAGGAAAGTCCCAACACGCAAGGAAAATTGGCAGCGTGTTTTTCAAATTCCAGGGGTGATGCGAATCCAATCACTGGAGCAGTTCAAGGAACATGAGGCTATTATTATAAGTGGACCAAGTAGAGAAGAATAAGCTAAGGAAAACACCAATGGAATAGTAAATCATAGTGGTGTTGCCCCAGATATTAGCCATTGTTGGAATTGATCAGGTAGAGATTGCAATTGGGGATCAACATGAGAATGTTTAGGATAATGTCCTTGACAATACAGCGAGGTCTTCTAACCAAACAGCTACAGGGAAGGTGTCACAAGGCTATGGAACAGTAACTCACAAGTCTGCAGCTACAATGAATCCTAGTTTGGGTGATGTCTATAGTTTGCAGTTCAGGGATATACAAGAGGCTATGAAGGTGAGGGAGATGAATGCTGGATTATTGAAAGAGGCAACAAGGATATCAAAGGATCAAATTGAGTTGATCCCTCATACTACAAATATGATAGATGGGCAAAGAAATAATGTTCTACAAATATATGCTGCTGCTATTGATGATCCTAGGATCTTAGCTGGGAAAACTTTCAGTATAACAAGTGGCATTTTGAATAAAAGAATCCTCATTAATAATAGGGGTCAAAGGGAGTCGGGAATGATAGCCAAAAATCATGAACCAAATTCTTTGGCCCTGTAGGTGTTTGATGATGATCAAGGTGAAGAGAAAGATTTGGGGGAGGGCATAGAGGAGGAATCTACAGTTGCTAATTTTAAACAAGCAGTGAGAGATAGGGATATATTGACCAAAAGTGTGAACGAGAAGCAATCAGTTGGGAAACCTGCAAGGAGACAAAGGAAAGACAACAAAGATAGTGTACCTTTAAGGGTGCAACCAAAGAGGAGTGTCATCTCTAATTCAAAGATAATCTTATGGATAATGCACTAGTTTGGAATGTGAGGTCGATAAATCACAAAAAGCTTTCAATAGGTTGCTTAACCTACTTAGAAAGTATAACTTTTATGTGATAGGATTGATGGAACCTTGGCAAGACATCAACAAGCTGGAGGAAGGAAGCTAGGGATTCATTCTG